TGTTTTGATTGTGAATTAATAAAACCTTGGAGGAATAAAACTAAAGGGAGAGAAATTTGGAAAAGAAGGTTTAAGAAGGTTTTATCTTTTTATGTCTTGTTTTATGTTCTGTATTTTGTGTGTTTATGCTTGATGGAGAATTAATAAAACCTTGATAGAAAGAAATATAATTGAATAAAAGTGAAGGGAGAAACAATGAGAAATTTGGAAAAGATATATATGTGTTTAAATGGAAATGTGATAATGTGGAACTATGCTTTAAAAAATAATGCTTTATTTGCCTTGTTAAAACTTATAAGTAATTTTTGAGAAAGGAGGTTTTATAATTTGATGTTTTATGTTTTGTTTGTTTTTAAGATCAATAAAAATTTGTTTAAAAAAAAAAAGAAACTGCAGTGTAATCCTAAAAATAGGCATAACAGATTTTTTTTAAAGAAAACAGAAATTAACACTTTTTCCCGCCCTACGTCAGGCCAAATGGAAAATGTAGCTTCTGCCAATGTGTGTGATGATACAACTCCTCCTACTTTATGACTTTGCCCCGCCCCCTTGCACCCACCCTATGTCAAGGGCGGTTCTTGCCCACCAAAATAATTGTTTTGTGAGATAGTGCAGCAATAATGTGATATGTATATACAACAGCAGCCTGGCAAGAACTTAAGATCTGACACTTCATCTGACATGCATACACAGCTTTCTGAGCTCTGCTGTTAATTAATGGATTGCCTTCCTAATTAATAAAAGAATGTATCTGGTCTAAGGAAAGCTACACTTCATTCTTGAGAAGTTTCTTCAAAGTCCTGTTAATTGTCATCCGTGTCCTTGGGGAACCTCAAATGTTAAGGCTGCTTTAAAATAAAACAGCTCTCTCTCTTTTCTTTTCCCCCCCTCCGAGAATGCAAATCGTGTAAAGGAGATATGAGAAAAGAATGTGAAAAGCTTTGTTTGGAATAGGTGGTGCATTCTAAAAAAAAACCTCCTTGTTAATCAGAGCAATTACTAGAGGCAACAGCAATAGAGAAGGTGGTTCTGGGGCTGGCCCTCTGTGATGCATCTGTCAAAATTATTTAGCAGGTTCCACTTCACACAAAGTGACACCTTTCTTGGGAATTGAACAATAATGAGCAGTCAGTTGGCAGCAGATTAACGTGTTCGACTGTAGGGGACAATAGCAGAAGCCAGCATTCCAACCCTGAAAATGTTTCTGTCTTTGTGCACTTAATGCCCGTGGACAAATGTTTTTAGTTGCAAAAACTGACAACCTGAGATTTCCCTTCCCAACCAAAGAGCTTGGGTGAGTATCGCTCTTGAATTCCCTTACTCCCCAGCTTTGTCTCATTTTTCATTCTTGGATAGTCTCCATGATATCCCAGATCGTCCCCCATTAAGATGTTGGTGAGAGTTTAAGGGCAGATTGTTTTGTGTAGCTTTCAGGATGTTTCATGTTTGACTTCCGGCAGAATAACAGTTGGAAGGGACCTTGGAGGGCTTCTAGTCCAAGCCATTGCCCAAGCAGGAAACCTTATACTATTTCAAACAAATAGTGGTCCAATCTCTTCTTAAAAAGTCCAGTGTTGAACCACCTACAACTTCTGGAGTCAAGTCATTCCACTGATTGTTTCAACTGTCAGGAAAATTCTCCTTGGTTCTAGGTTGGATCTCTCCTTGATTAGTTTCTATCCATTGCTCCTTGTTCTGCTTTCAGATGCTTTGGAGAATAGCCTGTTCCCTTCTTCTTTGTAGCAGCCCTTTAGATACTGGAGCATTGCTATCATGTCAACCCTAGCCCTAGACATACTCAATTTCTAGAAGTGGTTCAGAAAAACCTCCTTCCTAGAAGTCAGCATCAAAGAATGATCAACATGTCTTGCTTTATGAGAGTCTTGGGACAATGGTTAGAAGACACAAAATTACTTGTGTTGCTCACTCACTTCTCCCATTCCCTCTGATAAGTATACCTATAATTTTCTTCCTTCCTTCCCTTCCTCCTTTCCTTCCTTCTTTCCTTCCTTCCCTAGAAGCATAATCATTGTTCCTTCCTTCCTTCCTTCCTTTCCTTCCTTCCTTCCTTCCTTCCTTCCTTCCTTCCTTCCTTCCTTCCTTCCTTCCTTCCTTCCTTCCTTCCTTCCTTCCTTCCTTCCTTCCTTCCCAGCCAAGCCTCTTCCTCTGCCATTTTGCAATTAACAGCAGGAAAAATAGAAAATCTGAAAATTGCTTCTTGTGCTTTCTTGTTCTTCCCTATTGTCCAGTTGATTAGCTGATAAGATAATTATCTGGGAAGAAGCAGATTAAAATGTATAATGCATGCTGAACCTTCAGTGGAATGCTTAGATGCAGGATTTAATAGACTTGCAGGGAATCTCATTCAGAAAGCAATGCATATTATTAAGTGGTAGGCAGAAAAATGCCATGCATACCAGGTCCCCATTGAAGCTGATGAAAGAGAATTTGCTTTTGATTTATTTTTCCATGGAAGAACTTCAATGAAACTCTCATAAGCAGATGAATGTTATAGCAGGCATTTAGGGATAAGACAACCTAGGAAAATTATTTTTTCTAGCCGTCTAAAGCTGCCAGGCCTGTGCTGCTTCTATTAAATCCCAAAGGATTTAAGATATCGTTTCCTTCTATGGGACTTGTTAAATCGGGATGAATGAAAAGCCAAGGAGGCTTCAATTTGATGGTAAGAGAAGTGGCAAGAAGCAGAGGTGGTATTCAGCAGGTTCTGACCAGTTCTGGAGAACCATTAGTGGAAATTTTGAGTAGTTTGGAGAACCGGCAAATACCACCTGTGACTAGCCCCATCCCCATCTATTCCCTGCCTCCTGAGTCCCAGCTGATCGTCTGGGTCTTCTTTTGTTGCCCTGCATAGGAGAACGGAGCTGGAAAGCAGGTTAGTGGGGTGGGGAGGGAATGGGATTTTGGAGTATCCTTCCCCTGCCATGCCCACCAAGCCATGCCCACAGAACTGGTAGTAAAAAAATTTGAATCCCATCACTGGCAAGAAGCAATAATCACAACAGTAGTAGCCCTATCCACCTTGTCCAATATTTAAGGAAACTCAAAGATGCCCTCAAGAGAATTGAGAAGACATTCTTAAGCCCCTGAAGAATTAGGTAGAAAAACAGGCACTTCTGTTGCTGAAAAGGCACAATATTAGTATTCACTGGTTTACTTCAATATGTCGTGTGGCAGCTCTGCTATATTTCGGGGACATCTGGCTCATTGTGTCCTTGAAGAACTGCCAAGATTTGTTTTATTCTGCAGCCCAGCTCTGGGTTTGGGGCATTCCTCAATGTCTTCTACTCTAATCACCTGGGCAGTAGTAGGAAGATGGGTAAGAATCAGCCAGGAATAGAGATTGGATCCACAATCATCAAGGACCTGGGCTACAGTTGGCTTTGGCTGTGTTCTCAAAACAAGGACTCCCAGGAGTAAGTTACATTTATCTTATGGTTTATGCATTCATGGAAATCCAGAAGTTACCCACCTAAGCTGAGTTTGTATAATACCTGATCTTAGGCTATATAAGTAACACCAGCGGTCTGACCCAAGAGCTGAATTCGCACATTGTACTAACCATACTTAGCTAGTACATTGTGTGAACTCATCCAATTCAGGCTGTCACGAAATCATAAATAAAGAAAACCTGGTTTAACATCAACATGTAATATCTTTAAGATAAGATCACCCTAATATTTCCTTTCCTGTTTCTTGTATTCAACCTCTAGAACAGGGATCTCCAAACTTAGCATTATTAAGACTTGTGGATTTCAGCTCCCAGAATTCCTCAGGCAGTTCAACAAGTCCACAAGTGTTAAAATTGCTAAATTTGGAGACCCCTGCTCTAGAAGAATGGCCCAAAATATCTGTAGGAAGGCACTATTCAGGTGAGAAAGTCCTATTCTCTTAATCCCACTGGCTAATATTTCAGGAAGGATTTTTGGCAGGGGAAGGGCAGGCTTCATTAATCTGGGCACCTGCAGATGTGTGATCTTGGACTTCCAGTCTGTTCAGCAATGGTCATGTTTACTGGAAAATTCTAGAAATCCATACGTCTGGAGGATAAAACCATTGGGGATAACTGAAGCCATCTTGCTCAACGAATTTCTACAATAGTAGCTACATGGTGGCTACACAATATTTCTTTTTTCTCCTTAAAAACCCCTTTGTATTCTTGCTGGTGGTTCACTCACCATCTGGATCATGTATTTCTCATGAGTTTCCATCAAAAGAAACTCTGCCCAAATCACACCAATTGTTTAGGAAAGATAAATAGGTAATCCACACATGTGCTATGTGCATAATCTAGACATGTAAACTCTTGGTGCTGTAAAGGCAGAAGAAATTGGTGGTAATAGCATCCTCAACACAGTTACAGAGTTGAGATAACAAAGATATTGGCAGAAGTTCACCACAGAACCTCCCCATCATGAATAGGTGTCCAGAAATTCCATGAAAAGCTGTCATGCCCCTGGTGGAGACTGACTCTGAGGGAGAGAAGGAACAGCCGACAGGGAGTGGAGGTGTGGCTCTGGAAGTTGTGGAGGAGGCTGGGGAAGGGCAGAGGCCGGCTGGGCAGTCAGAGGAAGAACCAGGCCCATCCCCTCTTCATTCTAGGGGCACGCAGAGAGGAAAGGAGGAAACAACTTGGCTTATGAGAGAGGAAGCGGCCATGATCCCTCTCATTAGTTGCAGCTGGGGAGAACAGTATATAAGAGGGACGGTTACAACACAGTGTTGCCAGAAGCAAAGCGTGTTTTATTTTGGGCTGAGGTTATCTTGGTTGGTGTCCTTGCAACAGACTGTGCCTTGTTATCTCCTTGAATTTGGTATTTACTTATCCTGGTCCATTGTAGAAATTCCTTCATTGTAGTTTGTTTTAGTTTTTTATTTCATCTCTATCTGCTCATTAAGTTTGGTCTGTATTGCTTTCTTTTGAAGACTATTTTTGAGTAAGTTTTATCTCCAACTGAGAATTATTGAATAGTGGGGCCAAGTTGGAAGCATTAAAGGACATTTATTTACATTTTGGATTTTGTTACGTTTGTGTTACACTCCGGGTCATCACAAAAGCAATGGTCAGTCACTCATCAAAGTTCTTGCTTGGAGTTTTCAAATCCTTCAAAGAGGATTTCATCCACTTTCATATCCGTTTCAGACACAGGGACCATACCGCATACTTGTTCTTGGAAAGCTAAGGCAATTGTGTACGGTTTTCCTTTTGGATGCTGCAGGCATCGTTGGAGGTAGGTATCATAATACCCTTTTCCTCTTCCCAGCCTGTTCCCCATTTTGTCAAAACCAAGTCCCGGCATCAGGATGAGATCCAGACCATCTGTGGAAGAGAAAGGAAATATCTCGGGTAAAATGACATCAAACTAACTTTTCATTTCTCAATTTTGTTTTCTTCCTGATCTGTCCAAGAATTGTGATGTGTGTGTGTTTTTTCCCCAGTTTTGATTTTAAAAAGCTGGTTAAGTTGGATGTTCACACCAATGCAACCTGTCAAAGACAAGGAGCTGTGCTTGATAATGTGGGGAGATGTAAAAGTTGCAGTGGTAGGGAGGAATGTGAATAAGATTGGGATTTGGACAGTTTCTTTTGGTCTGGGAGGAGGCAGAGGGAGAGTGGGGAGAGATATGGGAGAGTGACAGAGAGAAAGAGAGAGACAGAGCGGGGAGACGGAGACAGAGAGAGACAGACAGGCAGAGAGAGGCAGAGAAAGAGAATGAGAGTGTGTTGTTTCAGGCTGTCAACTCTACACAGTTGTTAGCCTCACTCTACTGACCTTCACCTTAGCCTAAATCATCCAGGAATCTTCTTGATGAGGAAAAGACAAATAAATTAGGCACATCATTGTTCCATCTCTAAAAGTATTTTAGAATGCTGGATATCACAATTTGAGCCAGTCATTCTCTCTCACAAAGTTACAGGGGCATGATGGAAATGTGTGCATATGAGTCTGTGTGTTTGTTTGTGCCTTTGAGTTAGCGTAGACTCCCTGGACTAATCTTCATCAGTAGTTTGCCATTGCCTCCTCCCTAGGGCTGAGACAAAGTGACTGGCCCAAGGTCACTCAGGTGACTTTGTACTTAAAGCAGGACTAGAACTCACAGCCTCCTGTTTCTAGCCCGGGGCCTTAACTTACTGCACCAAACGGAATCTCATGTGCGTAGTAACTATTTCTCTATCCTTATCATTTAAAAGTATTTAACACATTTGTTATCACCATAATCATTCCAATTTCCTGGAGCAGCACACACCTATGTATTAAACAGCTCCCTCAAGAATAGAAAGTAAAATTAACATGGGGCCTTATGAAAAGCAGAAAGCATAATAAGATTTTTTTTGGGGGGGAGAATACTCAGGATATTGAGAGCACTTTGCTAAAAAGCCTCTGTACACACAGTAAGATTGAGCAGGCATTAGAAAAACTCCAAAGCAATTTTCTCTGGGAAGATCTTCTACAAAAGAAATGGAAGCTGTGAAAAGCCCCGTTTCTTTCTGATGCTTACTTTTAGTGTATTAAAACTCACATACCAAAGATTATTAAGGCAACTGGCTAAATATATGCAGGCATATTTGTATACGAGGCATGCTGATAACTGCAATAAACAAACAGCAACAGATTTCTTTTTTAAAAAAAGAAAAAGGCACATAAACAACTAAACACCCCTGGCAGACTTGCATATAGTAACAGCTAAATATCATCATAAAACTATTTTTTTTCACATTTTGCTCTAATTTTTTTTGTCTTTTGATTTTTGTACTCCATTGCACAAAGAAGATGTTCCTCTTGTTTTCACTTTTTTTTAATTCCTCTAAATAAATTTCTCATCTCTAAGGGGTTTTTTTTTAAAGGGGAGAAGTTGGCTAAGTAAGGATAGCTGCAACAGCAAACCATTTATCTCCACCTCCATGTTTTTTTCACAGTAATAATTCTGCCATTGATCTATTGCATGTTCCATAAGATAAAATCTCGGTTTGTGCACTTTAATATATATTTGCTTTTTCCTGGGGGCAGAGAGAGGCGGTTGGCAAAGAGAAAGGAAACAACTACAATTATTGAAGCATTTGTTTGGATGTCAGATAAAAATGGAATAAAGATTTAATTGCAGATAAGACCCCTGGTTGAGAAACATCAAGCTCTCAGCATGGACCTGTCAGTATTATCAAGAGCCTTCTGGATGGAACCCTGAAATTGCAATTTAAACTGGTGAATATTTTTTTCCAGCTCATAGAAGTGGTTTCTTCTCCCCACTTTCACACTTGAAAGTAGATAGCTTGTTAAAAGATTGTTTTTGTATGTAGTTAGTTATGAGGAGGCCAGAGAACATACTGTATGTAAAAGTTTATCTCCCAATAACCTGCAGATTCTTTGGTTTCTACTTCCTTCCATGTAATACCAATGGGAAAAAAATTAAGGGTGATGCCTTCAGTGGAAGAGGAATTTTAGGCAGCCAAGGAAAGGTCAGTGTAGGAAATGATGAGGTTAAGCCCGACCGAGGGGTCAAACATGTCATAAGTCTCGAGTCCCTTTGAGCCCAAGAGATCTAAGTCCAACCCACCTTGAATTTGGTTGACTCTTATCTACCATCAATTTGCTTTGATTGTTAGTAGTTCAGATTCTTGTAGAGAGTATTAGTACACAATAAACCTATATTCACTGGGTGGCACAGTGGTTAGAATGCAGTATTGCAGGCAAATTCTGCCGACTGCGAGGAGTTTGATTCTGACCGTCTCCATGCAGACTCAGCCTTCCATCCTTCCATGATCAGTAAAATGAAGACCTAGATTGTTGGGGGCAATATGCTGACAATGTAAACCATTCAGAGAGTGCTGTAAAGCACTATGGAGCAGCATATAATTGCTATTGCCATTGCTCTTCATTTGAACTGCCTGGACTCCTGATTCCCAACAGTTATAGTAAACATTGCCACTAGATCAAGCCCCCTCCAGCATTTTCAATAAGGAAGGTCAACTCGCCCACCCAAGTGGAAATTTCAAAGAAATTCTCTAGCTTCCCAAGCAAAGGTGATATTCAGCAGGTTCTGACCAGTTCTGGAGAACCGGTAGCAGAAATTTTGAATAGTTCGGAGAACCGGCAAATACAGCCTCTGACTGGCCCCTCCCCCCTCTCTTCTCTGCCTCCCATTGAGTCCCAGCTGATTGGCTGGGTCTTCTTTGGTTGCCCTGCACAGGAGAACGGAGTTGGAAAGCAGGTTAGTGGGGTGGGGAGGGAATAGGCATTTTGCAGTATCCTTCCCTTGCCACGCCCACCAAGCCATGCCACGCCCACCAAGCCACGCCCACAGAACCGGTAATAAAAAAATGAATCCCACCACTGACCCTGAGAATAAGGTAGGAAACTCTTCATGGGAAGAGAAATCGGGAAAAATTTCAGCCCAGTAGTGATGTTTCTGCCATTCTGCCCTCAAACCACAAAGGGACCCATCTTTTGCTGCTGTTCCATCTGCTTTCAGGATTGATGCAGTTGTCTCTGCCAGGTAGAGCAAAGGAAGGGGCTGGCATTTCTGAGCCTCTTATGCATTTAAAGGCAACTATATGTAGGTCTGGTTTTTTTTTCTCACTATGGAGGAGGATTTGCCAAGGGGACATTTGAAACAAATGAGGCAGCACAAGTTAGAGCAGCCCATTGGAACAAACTTATCATCTTGCTTGATTTTTTCTTTTTTAAAAAAATTTGCAGCAGAGGAAAACTTTTGGAGCAAGAAAACAGAAAAAAAAGTCCAACCGATACAGCCATCAGGGAGGTAGAAATGCAAGGCTGAATGTATCAAAAATAATACCGAATGTAGGAAAGGATGTGGCCATCTGGCCTGAAGAGGATGAGGGAGAAGCCTCACCTGAGCTTATATTTTGGGAGGGAGGAGAAAGAGAGGGAGAGAGGGAGGGAGGGAGGGGGTGGATTCACAGGAGAAGGGTTGAATACTTTACTGAAGAAGTACTGGAAAAGTTTGCTATTTGCTTCTTGCGTTTCGAATTTGAAAGAAGTATTGGCAGAATTTGCTAATTTCTTATGTTTTTAATCTGGGTTAAAGTTATTTTAGAAATACACTGTTTTTGTTTTGTTTTTTTCAACTTCAGAATGGCAAGAAATGATTCTGTTTATTTATTTATAGTCCAATCTTGCAGTTTGGTTTGGAGGTTTCAAATAAAACAACAAAGCGTGAATTGAAAATAAATACGGAGTAATATCTATAAAAATAGGAAGACTGAAATATAAATAAAGTAATGGTCTTGGCCAGTGGTGGAATTCAAACATTTTTACTACCGGTTCTGTGGGTGTGGCTTATTTTGTGGGCGTAGTTTGTGGTCATGTGACTGGGTAGGTGTGGCTTAGTGGTCATGTGACTGGTGGGCATGGCTTGGTGGTCATGTGACTGGATGGGCGTGGCCAACTCAATGTCACTCACATCAAGGGGTGCCTCACCCTGGCCCCTGCCTTCCCCTCCATTCCTTGTCACCCAGCCTCAACTTATCTATAGTTCTGTAAAAATGTTGTTCACCTTTTTTGACTTTACTATACTAGAGATGTACTTTCATGGACCACTGAAAGGAGGAAATGGCTCACATGCTTTACTCAAGAATGTGATAGGCAACAGGCTTTTAAGGGGCTGCCACAAAGAAAGGGGGAACAATGTATTTTCCAAAGAAGCAGAACGCAAACAAGAACCAATGGATGGAAACTGAACAGAGAGAAGCAACCTAAAACTAAGGAGAAACTTCCTAACAGTGAGAACAATTAACCAGTGGAACTGCCTGTCTCCAGAAGTTCTGGGTGCTCAATCACTGGAAGTTTTTAAGAAAAGACTGGACAGCCATTTCTCTGAAATGGTATAGGGTTCACCCCAAGGTCCCTTCTAAGTATTATTCTGACACCTTTCCCAGGATTTCTACTCAGAGTTTGGCATCCTCAGTTTTCTTGCCTGAGCTGGGGGTGGGACTAGAAGACTCCAAGGTCCCTTTCAACTCATGTTAAACACATGTGTATTTTATGGTCTGGACTATTGACATTGAATGCATGTAAACCCTGAAAAATATGTGGTAGCCCTGGGCAAAAGAAAGGCAGAAAAAATCACTCTAGGTGTAGGGACAGTGTAAAATATTAACACATCAAAAATAATGGAACAATTAAAAATATTAGCACAGAGTGTTATCTCTCTCTTCCTATTTTTTTCTTTCTTTCTCTACCTTTTTCTTTCTTTCTTTCTTTCTTTCTTTCTTTCTTTCTTTCTTTCTTTCTTTCTTTCTTTCTTTCTTTCTTTTCTTTTCTTTTCTTTTCTTTTCTTTCTTACACACACACACACACAC